TAGGGATTTTCACATGTGTGGGGACTGTTTTTGTGCATTTTTTGGACACATTTTCCTGACTTTGTAAGAAAACCAGACAAACCAGACAAAACAAGCAGGCCCGACTTTCTAAACTTTTAAAACTGGTTGCTGAGGTCAAGGTTAGGTTTAAGATAAGGCTTAGATTCTTATTACATTTAGATAATTACATATATAATACAGGTTGATTCAAAAAGATTAATTCGATTTCAAAATGAATATTTCACTTGTAAATCGTTACAGATCAATGCAGTAAACTGTAAATGGTTTAAATGAGCATAAAGTTTATTATGTGATTGTACAAGTGCTCAATATGAACCTCCTCCAGCTGTACAGACAACATCAACGCCATAGTCAAATTCATCCCATACTCGATTGAGCATGTCGGGTGTTGCACTGCACTCACGGCTCTTTCAGTGCGATTTCAGAGATCATCCAGTGTTGTGGAACCAACGACGAACGCTCTGAGCTGTTGGAGCTTCACTGCCCACAAAAATCATCCGTTATGATGGATTCACTCTTATTGAAGTGGAGAACGCAGAACGCTTTCTGCTCAGGGGTCTCCACCTCCTCTCAGACTGAAGGGAGTCATCTTCCAGTGACAGAAACTCTATGACCCCGTCTTTCAATTGGATTGTGATTGGTTCCTATGCACCTCACGGTTGTAAAAATATGGCGCTTTGAAATTGAATTCATCTTTTTTAATCACCCTGTATAGTAGCGAATCGTGATTGTACTGGTTTGTGTCCACTGCACGTGGATTTGTCATCTAAAAGTTCACCTCCATTCACTGTCAACAGGGAGTATCAGAAATATGCACAAAGGTTTGTGGGACACTGACCAATCAGATGAAAGCAACTTTCTGTCTGAACAACACGGAAGGAACCCTTCACAGAACCCTTTGCATGATTAAAGGGGTCTTCTATTGTTACAATGTCAAGCTTGTACCAATAGAAGAACCCTTTCATGTGCCAACCCTTTTACAGAAAGGTTCTATATAGAACCATCTACAGCACATTCTCCATCAATCTGAAGAACGCTTTCACCACTGAACCACTGTTTTACTAAAGAACCCTTGAAGAATCATCATACTTCTTCTTTAATGAAGAAGTATGTACCCTTTGGATGATTAAATGGGTCTTCTATTGTTACAATGTCAAGCTTGTGCCAATAGAAGAACCCTTTTCCGTGCCATATAGAACCCTTTTTCAAACCTTTCTATATAGAACCACCTACAGCACATCCTCCATCAATCTGAAGCACGCTTTCACTACTGAACCACTGTTTTACTAAAGAACCTTCTTCCTTAATGAACATTTGCATTGCTGTCCACCAGATTTTCCCTTGTTTTCCAGCGGTCACTCACTAACCCGTTGGTACTGACCACTGATTGTTTGCCCTCCATACATATACACCCCGTATCCCCCAACTCTTTCTCAGCATCACCTCCCGAACTCTGCTCACTTGGCTATTGTTCACATCGTCATGACAACATTGAAAACACTTATGACCCAAACAACAGCTTTGTCCACCAATGCCAGGAGTCGGCCCCCTTTCCTCTTTCTCTTCCTTCCCCCCGTTTTCATGAGTTTAGCAGCTTGCCGTGTGACACCACTTCCCAAATGTGCATGTCTGCTCACAAGCGTTCCGCCATGCACTTCTCTGGACCCTGAGGATTTATGAAACGCCAGATAGAAACACAAACACAGCTCTCTCGGCATCCGCACAATGGAAAATAGAAGGGCCCGATTTGGCAGTTATCTCCTCCGCTGTGAGCGTGATCCAGCTACCTACTGCCAGAACTAGCATATGCTAACCATATCGACTAAATTAAAGGTAATGAAACCCAGAATCTCAGTTGGACCTGTTTTTGATGAAAGCTGGACTCCTGTCTCCATTCGATCAGGATGCTAGTTCTAAAGAAAGCTCACCACTAAGCTTGTCAGCCTTGACACTAGAGGAATCTGACAGGGAGGTTTGGGTAGATGATCATCAACACGGCCACAGCCGTTATGTAATATCACCAGAGAACCGCCTCAGTCCAGTGTTTCTCAACCCTGTCTCTGGTGTCACTATATACTGCACATTTTAGCAGTTTCCTGCTCTTTCCCCCACAGCTACAGACCTCTGAAGTTGTGTCATCAGTCTGCATTCGGTGTCGTGTCTATATTAGGAATCAGTTTTCTCTATGGCAGAAATAAATGGCGGTTTTGTGGTGAAAACGTTCCAAAGCGGTTATAGACATTTTTCCTCTGGACACAGCAGGATCTTCTGAATTATGAGGAGCTGAAATATGACTTGCTTTAAATATAAGCTAACACTGAAGCGCACTGAACTGACATTGTAAGACCCGAAACCTCAACAAAATACCCCAAACAAACCATACAGATTTGTCAAATGTGGTAGTTTAGGGGCTTTGGCAGTTTTAGGCCACAGTTTGGGTAGCTGGGGTTGCTTAAGTTTAATAGTAGACTTACTTTTAGCTTGCTTGTAGCATGTATGCAGCATTGTATGTATTTTGACTGCTAAACGATCTCGTAATTCAAAGGATCCAGTGAAATTCTGGGAAAAAATGTGCACAAGGCAAAACGTATTGAGGCATTTCAGTTTACAATGGGATGCAACAGCAGGGATTTTTGGAAATGCCGTTAACTTCTGTCATAGACAAAATCTAGAACGTACTCAGACTATCAGTGTGTCCCAATTCAGGTGCTGCATCCTTCGAAGGATACGGTCTATGAAGGCGTGCCCTTCGAAGGCTGCGTAGACCTGCGAAGGCTGAACCGAAACGAAAGGTCAGCTCTACGCAAATTATATATATAATAAACAAAACAAAACTTTAGTTTTGCTTCAGGCCACATTGGCTTTTTTAACATTTGTATCGTTAGCTATTCAACCCAGTTTAAACTAAATGCTTCCATTTAAAGGGTACAACTCAGGCACCATGTTCTCGAATCCTCGGTGGCGTGCAATAAACTTTGGGATATGTTGGCTGGATTCCTTCTTTGCCATGGAAAAGAAAGACACTATTCTTGGCCGAATATGAAGAAGCTTTAAAATGGGACAGCCTAGTCCTGCTGCTGTGATGCAATCGGCCTTCAAACGCAGCCTCCAAAGGATGGAGCCCCTGAATTGGGACACAGCTTATGTCTGGTTGCCTTGTACTGTGTCCTCCGCCCCTGCTCACCTGCGCTCACGTTGCACTTACTGTTCCAGGCCTGAGCACACTTATATCATCACAATGCAACTTTCTGTGTTGAAGAAAAGCTGTCTCACAAACCTTGTATATTTATCAATTATACAATGCAGTGATTTTCAGTTAATCGTGTTGCACATAGACTTTTACCGAGGCAGCTGACTTTAAGGGAGAAATCTGCAGCTTTATTGGCCGACTACAATTCACACACTTCAATGAGGCGAGAACCAGATCCATCATTAACCCAAATATTCTCTAATGAATTGAAAAGTGGGACAGTCGCATCATTGACATCATGTCTGAGTTGCATGCTCAGGCATGGTTAGTGATCACATTGGATGCGTCCCGTGCCAAACCAAACCTTGCCTAAGCCCATCTCTATAAGAGGGCCCGGACACTGTACAGAGCGACAACACTAGTCAAATGAACTGGACTTTGGGGGTCAAACATGCTCAGGCACGGTACAGATCGCCTAATGCAGGGGTGCACAACTCCGGTCCTGGAGGGCCGACGTCCAGCACAATTTTGAGCTTTCCCTACTGAAACACACCCATTAGACCTGCCAATTAACAGATGAGTGTAATCAGGTGTGTTGGCGCAGGAAAATCACCAAACTGTGCTGGACACCGGCCCTCCAGGACCGGAGTTGTGCACCCCTGGCCTAATGTGAGTACACCGTGGTCCTGACATTGGCAACAACCATGTATTTTTAAAAATGTATTTAATATTTGTACAGACTTTATCAACATGAATTGAGTAAAAATTTCTTGTTCTGTTTGGAGTGGGTGACACATACTTGTGGGCGACAGGGCAAAATGTAATATCGCAACACTTCGGGATGTTTTTACAATACAAGATGTGCCACCACATTTATTTTTTCTGACATCTGATAATATAGAACAAACAATTTTTAAAAATACCACCAAAAACTATGAATCCGATCACTACTCAACATTTCACACACTGTGCAGCACTAAATCCAATTAAACAGGACTAATGACACTGTCTGTAATCAAACATGCAGTTGGTAAGTTACTATTAAGCACTGATATCCATGATATGCTCAGATGTGACATATTATGATGTAATTTATCACCATAATGATCAACATCGTCCTATCGCCCAGCTCTAGTGACATCCCAAGTAGGATGCCACTTAGGCCCCTCCAAATGTTCAGAAATGGCCCTGATAATACCTGCTTAGCCTCTTCTGTTCATCACCAAGACCACCTTTAAGTTACAAAGGGTGTGTTACAGCAGGAAAAGCACTAAAATGTGATGGAGATGGTACCAGTTCAGCGCACTGTTACTTTCCCTTGGTGGAGCCACAGCAGGCAGAGCCTTTCCTAATTAGGTAACAGGAGCACATGTGGACTGACATAACCAATGGCCAGTGTGGTCAAAGAAGAGAGAACAGAGGAAAGTACTGAGTCTCATACGGCTCCTTACTGCCTGTTCAGTGAACTAACTTACACAGGTAATTCAAAAAGCCTTCTAGTGTCCAGTGAGGAGCCATTTGGGATTCAGCCTGATATCAAGAAACTGATATCAGTTACATTTTTCCAGTAATCTAAGCAGCATATCGACTATATGCTCCAGTTACACATTGCAGGCAGGCTAATATCGGTACTCACCGGCGGTACAGTCTCTGGAGAACAGCACAAACAAATATGAGGCGAATATAGAAAACAAACAAACAAACAAACAAACAAACCAAAAAATAACGGCATAATAAACAGAGCTGGACCGAAGTCGTTAGCTAACTCGGCTAACGCCGCTCCACTCACCTCGCGCGCGGATTCCGTTGTTGTCAAGCGCGACCGTTCCGTCGTCACGACGCTCAGAGGCTCGAGCCGCTGCTTCTCCTTCTGAAGCTCCGCCCCCTCCCTCCTCCTCCTCCTCCTCCTCCTCCTCCTCAGCGTTCAGCAGCGCGCGGCCTGTAACGATAACGATGACGTCGACGTTCCGAACGTTTGTTGTTTGATACGGAACGAGCGCGCGCTCGACTCTCGCGCTCTCAGCATCCAGTCCACGCGACCTGAATAATCGGGTATGAAGGGGAGCGTTGCGTTCCCACCCGTACTCGTAAACCCCGCCCTCCTGCGCTAGGATTAGCGAGTGATGTCTAGGTCCCGCCCACAACCCGATAACCCCGCCCTCCTGCGCCAGGATTGGTTGGTAAAACGTTCTGGAATAGAAGAATGTTTGTGAATATGAACAGCTAGAACCATATATATCTCCATAAGTCTGAAGATGCAAAGAACCATTTAAACATGAAATGGTTCTATGTAGAATTCATGGTTGAAACTGAACCAGTGCCTTTGCTGAAGAACCCTTAAAGAACCATGGTTTTTAGGCATGTAGCCCAGTTCTGCACTCTTAGCAGAAAGGATTCTATGAAGTACCAAAGGGTTCTAAGACTTGTAACAATAGTGGAACCCTTTTAAGTGTAAAATAGAACATTATTTTATTGTATGAGGTTCTTTAAAGAATCACACACAGCCGATTTCCAATCATGGAGAAGAACTGTTTAACCACGCAAATAACCATTAATGCATTCAAATGGTTCTTTGAGTTGTCTTGGTTCCACATTTGGCTACTGGCTTTAACAAAGAACATTTTTAAAGGGTGCAGTGGAAAGAACCAGGATACCAAAGAACCCTCTGAGAATCTATTATCTAAGGGTCTAGCAAACAAGGATGTATGACTTTGTTTAACTTTTTTGGCATCACATAGAACCATATTTATAAGGTTCTTCAAAGAACATATACAACAGTGTTCCCATTATGAAGAGGAACCATTTAACCATGCAAATAATGATTTGTGCATTCAGATGGTTCTTTATGCTTTATGTCATGGTTCTATATTAGGCCACTGTCTTTACCAAAGAACTCTCGAAGAACCTAATTCAAAGAGTAGTGTAGTGGTGCTACATAGAACCATTTAAAAAAGGCTCTTTAAAGAACAACACGCCAGTTTTCGTTTATACACTTCTAAAAAAAGATGGTTCTTCAAGGGTTCTTTAGTAAAAGCAATGGTTCTATTTACAACCATGAGTTCTATATAGAACCACTTGCATGCATTAAGGGTTCTTTGCACTGTGGTTCTTCAGATTGATGGAGAATGTGTTGTATGGTTCTATGTAGCACCTTTTGAAAATAGTTCTATGTAGCACCAAAAGGCGTTCTATATTGTAATGATGTCAAGCTTGTAACAACAGAAGAACCCTTTTTGATGCTATGCAGAACCATTTAGAACACATTCTCCATCAATGTGAAGAACTATTTTCATGCTTAAATGGTTCTTTTCATGGTGAAATGGTTCTTCACATTGATGGAGAATGAGTTCTAAATAATTCTATGTAGCACCAAAAACGGTTCTGTATTGTTAATGATGACAAGCTTGTGACAATAGAAGAACCCTGTTGGGTGCTATATAGAACCCTTTTAAAAAGGTTCTGAATAAAACCTTCTCAATCAGTCTGAAGAACCACCATGCAAAGAACCATTTAAGCATGAGATGTTAAGCATGTAGAGCTCATGGTTCTAAATAGAAACATTGCCTTTTCCAAAGAACCCTTGAAGAACCCTCTCTTTTAAGAATCTTAATCCAGCTAAAACCCGGTTCTTTGAGCTGTCGTGGTTCTAAATATGTTCACTGTTATTACTAAAGAACCACTTTTTTAAGGATGTACTGAAAGGATGTGGAGATATACGAACCAATCGTAGCGCCGGAGTCACGGCATGGTATCTAATCGTAGAGCAGGGGGCGTGGCTTGTCGGAATACGGGTAGGAAAACAAAAGAACACCAGCAGCGTTCCATCTGTTGTTTTCAGACGCTCCGCTCAGCCAATCAGCGCGCAGCTTTAACACCCCTTTGTTCAGCTGGATAATAAATGAGGGAATCCCGTTTCATCAGAATCCTCTCTGCCTTGCAGCTCAAACTGAAGTGTTTCTCCTTTTTAACCCTAAAACCTCCAGTTTGACCTCATGATGAGCTGCTGGACAGTCAGAAAAGAGTGTGAAGTGTAAATATGTGCAGTGAAACTTTAACCCAAGAGCAGGTTTATGTAGGATTTGTCACAAAAACTGACCACCACTGGAACTGATTGGGGGTTGAGGACTCCCTTAAAGAGACTTTGAAGTCAATGGGAGCCATTTGGACAGACACAGTTGAGCTTGTTAACACAGCACTGGAACTTTTTACTGTTTTACAGGCTTTTAAATTGATCTACAGCAAGACTGGTGTGAGCCAGACTCGAGTCCACTGCTAAGTTCTTATTCAGCAGAAGCAGCATCTGCTCGCTCGCAGCCCATTGTGGCTGGACCGGAGTGGGGGCAGACAGAGCAGCAGTGTGGGTAATCTCATTAAAGCACACAGTCACGGTCAGAGACACACGGTGGCCCCAGACACACAAAGAGGGGAGTGAGCGATGAGTTTGCTCTACAATGTGGAAAACAGAGCACATGACTTTATGGGAGATTAGCCACTTCAGTCTGCGTTTATATGGAGCTCTGCACTGTATGAGTTACTGCTGAAGAAAATAAATGCTATTAGTGTGTTTTTACTTTAGATACTACCACCAAAATGGGTTGTAATATGATGCAATATGCTACTTCACATGATTCAAATATTACTGTAAGCAATGTTAGACGTGTCCAGAGGAGCCAAAAGCTGAGAATTTATAATAAAATTAATAAAAAACATTTGAACAATAAGGTGCTGTCTTCTTTTGATCATTTCATCGTTTTTTTGCGGCTTAAGATTATATACACGATCAGGCATAACGTTACGACCACCTCCTTGTTTCTACGCTCATTGTCCATTTTATCAGCTCCACTTACTATATAGGTGCACTTTGTAGTTTTACAGTTACAGACTGTAGTCCATCTGTTTTAAGGACCAATTGTGAGATGTGCTCATGTTCTTCTTAGTCTGGTGTGACTGGTAGGCTGTTTTTTAACAGATGGTTCCAGAACCAGGTTCCCAAAAGGTTTTTTTTTCTCCTGTAAAGATATCATACTGGAGATTTGACGTTTTGTTACAGCAGTAAAAATTGGTACATATTAGGCCTTTTTCTGGGTTCAAGAATAAAGCTACAATAGTGTATTTTGATTTTTTTCAAATCTTATTTTGATTTGACCACTTTTTCCCCACCATATCAGGTCCAGTACAAACAAAAGTGTAGTATGTACTGTAGTAATTTAGTACATCATGGTATTGTTTCTATATTTTACTGGAGTCTCTAACCCAAATAAAACTCGTTAACAAGAGAAATTTGGTCGATCTTTCAAAATGTCGATGGAACGTAGATGGAAACAAAGTCACTCAGACTGGTTTGGTGTGAAATGCTCTGTTCTAGAGAAACTTACACAAACCTTCACAGTGGTGGTGATAGGAACCAGATGTCCACCTCCAAAAGCTCCCTCACAGAAAGTTACTACATTAAATGTTTATAAATACACTGCCAGATGTCTGAGACACTCTTTTATGATAATTTTGAGATAAGATTTCGGTCTAAAATACAACTTTTAAAAGAAATCAGTTTATGTCAGTAGTTATGTGCACAGCTCTGTGAGGCTACATAGACTGCAAAGAAGACTTCTTTTCAGATTTACCACTTTTTTCCATCATTATTTTATTACATATAAAAGCTCAGAAGACACAAGTAGGCTCACTGGTGGTTTTGGATAGTAAATAAAATGGGTATATTTGTGCTGTAGTCATGGCGACCCCTGGTTCCTATCAGCACCACTGTAAAGACATCGGAGTCGGTTTTTCTATAAAGAACATTTTACATTAAACCACTTTGACTGACCCTGAATTGCCCTTTAACGTCTATTTAAACTCCCCCTTTTAAAAACAGCAATGTTGTCATTAGATAAAATAAAATGTGTCCAGAGCTGTGGATTATTCTAAAATGCCTAAGAAAGAATATTAAGAATGAAGATAAGTATATTATTGTTCATTCAATAACTTCTTGTTCCCCAAATATTTGATATATTAAATAAAAAAAGCTAAAAATGTCAGTCTTCAGATTTCATAGTACTAATTAAAAAAATTTGAACTGTAGTAAATGCACTTATTCAAATTCATGCATAACATAAATGCAAAAAAGAGAAGCAGACAGAGTTTAATTCAGTAACATCTTTTTAAATAATTTCAAGAGCAAGGAATAAAACAGTTGCTACAATTAGTATCGACAAAGCCTGGTCCAGGAGAATAACACACTCTGTACTCTGTTCAATATAGGTGTATATTCATATATTTATATTCGTCTTGAAGTATTTTAACTTCTTTTTTTTCAATTTGTACTACTATTGACATAAAACAGGAAGCAATGTTAGAAAAATACATTATGAAAAAGTTCTAGCTAACAAAAGTAGCTATTTCACTAAAACTATTGATTTCAAAAAGAGGCAAAACAGAAGGTTTCATTATTTTCACTTAAATAAAAATGTAACAAAATGGTGCGCTTTGCAGCATGATTTAAGATTTATATGCATGATCTCTTTCCTACAAACATCTCTTTGTCTGTAAAAACATAAAAACGATGTGTGTAAATATATATAAAAAAGGAGAAAACAAGAATAAACAGTGAAGAGATAAACACTTTAGGTAGACAAAGTATATTTGTCAGTTAGTTTCCCCTTCACAACAACTGAAGGGCTTTTTTTTTTTAAATATATCTTTGAATCAGACTCTTAGCGGCCATGATAGTAAGACCCCTCACCACCGTCTACACCCACCTCAAGCTCAACTTGAGGGAAAAACTACTCGGTTGGTTGGATGGGATGCTGAAAGAATTCCCATGCAAATAATCTTAAGGGTGTAAACCAATTGTACTGATTGTGAATTGCAATAATTGAAATTCCAATTTAAGAAAAATTTTCAAATTTTCTACTATGATTCATCACTGGCTGCCCGTCACATTTCACTTAAAGTAAATAAAAAACTAATAAAAATTAATCAAGGGTAACATTCACTTTGAAGAAAAAAATATATAATAAAATAATTAACCAAGGGGTTACTAAAAAAATTAACCAAGCGGTCACAATTCACTTTAGAAAAAA